ACAAATAGGTTGAGGAGGATAAAGAATCGCAAGTTTTCCTGCAAAAATGGAGGGACCAATTTGGGTTGATTATTGGAAGTCCCACCAATCCAACGTTAATGCACAGAATCAAGACCCAAAAGGACCAAGATGTTACCGATGAATTCATTTGAAATTTCGTTGTAGCTGCAATTAATTGTTGTGTCAGGTTACAACAAACAAACAACTCAGTTTCAAGTTCTTGTATTGCTGTGAGGATGTTTCAAAAATTAAGTCATTTGATTGGTGTGCATACACGTATGAAAACCTGATCATCTCCGTTGCGGAACGGAAATATGGAGCTTCTTATTTCACAAGACCTCTGCCATTTTTTATGGTAACATTCTGTTGTTTCATAAAATATTTCTATTGTTCCATTTAATAATATTAATCTTTCAAAAAATAAACTATTGTTACACCAGTTACAATATGCCTAATGTTGATTCACTAATCAATTATCTGATGCTCGAGTAAATATATTATGTTGTTTCATATTATATAGCTATTGTTCCAATCTTTAAGTCTACTATTCCAGAAACTGTATGTAATGTTCCAACAATAAAACATACCTGTTCCATAAAATTGCAATATGCCTAATGTTGATTTAGTAATATTCTGCTGTTTCATAAAAACGTTATACTGTTCCATTTAATTATTTTACTGTTTCAAAAAATATACTTTATGTTACACCAATTACAATATGCCTAATGTTGATTCAGTAATCAATTATCTGATGCTCCAGTATATATATTCTGTTGTTTCTTATTATACATCTATTGTTCCAATTTTTAAGTCTATTGTTCCAGATGCTGTTTGTAATGTTCATGTATTTTAGACAACTACGTAACTAATCTATTTTCTTAAACAGGTTTTATACTTTGACAGACTGAAACAAGGAACAGCTCAACCCCCATGGACAATACCCCTCTTGTCCGTTTGGAACAAAGAAATGATTTAACAACGGATGAAGGTGGAATTAAAGAGAAGTTTTGGGCAGGATATAGTCCTTGACAGGTTGAGAATCAACAAAGAAAAACTTGTTGAAAAAGATGAGCAAGAACCCTCGTCATCCTCTACACCTGAAGATATAATGGTAAAAAAATAAAAATAATAATAATAAAAAATCTGTTGTTCCATGACTTACATTCAATTATTACAAAAAATATACCTGATGTTACAGTGCTGATTCATACAATATGCCTGTTGTTGTCTGATGTTCCAGCATCTGTATTATGTTGTTTCATAAAATATATCTATTGTTCCTACTAATAAGCATATTGTTCCATGAAAATTATGTGATGTTACAATTAATAACCCTCCTCATTTATGTTGTTCCAATCTTTACAGTCAATTGTTTCATAACATATAACTATTGTTTCATTAAAGCTGTTTATTGTATCTACCAATGTTTACTGTTCCATAAAAAACTTTATGTTGTTTCAAATATTATACCTGTTGTTTCATTTTATTTATCTATTTTTCCAGTTCTATATTCAATACATCTCATTTATATTGTTCATATGTTATAAGCTTTTTTAATAGATGAATTCAACAACATGGCTAAGGCACTTGCTTCCTATGTTAATGAGATGTATGCTTTGGTTGACAAAGCTTACAAGATGTTAGAAGAGGTTGAGATTCCTGATGAGATGAAAAGCCTCATAAAAAACGTTTGGGGTAAGTACTCTTCAGTACAACCCACAATGAGTCAAGAAGGAATCAGGACTCATGGGATTCTCTCCCAAGACCAGAATCTGTTTGATGAACCAGCGTTTTTGTTAGAGCTGAATGATATGATAAGTAGAGCTAGGGCTACATTCCAACCCAAAAATAAAGGGAAAGAACAAGAAGTACCCCCCCCCCCGAACATGCTGCTCAAGAACCTTCCCATGAACAAGCTGCAAAAGAGCCCTCCCCCCAAGAACCAATTTTAGAGATTGCTCCAATTATTAAATTCAGCCCAAATTTCAACCTTTTCGTAGGATCACAGGCATTGCCTCCTACTCCCCCAACTTCCCCAACACCCGAAGAACCAGCAACAGAACAATAGTTGGAACAGCTCACTGAATTAATTGTTCATAAAATAACAACATCCCATTTCAGTGTGCCTGAAGGTGGACAACAAAGAGAAAAAAGGATCACTCAAAACCTTCCACCAAATATGTGTTCACCGTTCATGGTTCAAAATGAAAAAAATATCTAGAAAGCTTGATGCACAGCAGAGAACGGTGGCTGAATATGCATTTCTGTTGGTCCTAAAACGTAAGCAACATAATAAATGTTTTGTTAGTTCAATTGTTCCATATACTATTTCTATTGTTCCAATTTAAATAACTTGTTGTTCCACAATTTCAGTGAGGAGCTGTACAATGACACGCATAATTTTATCACTATGGATGAAATTTCATGTCTACAAGAAAACAATTATGTAATCAACACATAGTTGACTCTTGGGCACATATTCTGAACATGGCCAACAAAAGAAGAACCTGGAGCCATTAACAAATTTTTCTGCACTCACTTCTGAATGTTGGGTAATTATGTGTGATTTTTTAAAGTTGTTTCATAAAAAAATGTCAGTTGTTCCATTAATACACTTATTGTTCCATAAAATCTGACTGATGTTTCAATTATTATGCCTATTGTTTCTTTATATGTTGTATTGTTTCACAAAATATGCCCATAGATACACCCTATTGTTTCATAAAAAATGTCCAATGTTCATAATAATTGTGCTATTGTTTTTACAGTTTAAAAATTTTTAAATTGTTTTTTTTTTAATTTTTTCCCTGGCCAAATGCAGATTATGATGTGTACTGACAAATACTTCACTTCAAAAGACAAGTTTTTGGAGAGATATAAGACATTTAATATCAGAATAGAAAAAGAGATGATACACTCCAAGATCACTACATTTAACAAAGTTGACTTGGTTAGTATCTAAATTCTATTGTTCCATTATATCCATTTATTGTTTCTTAAAATAGGCCTAATGTTTCATATAATATGTCTATTGTTTCACGACATGTATTCTTTCCAGTAGTCACATTTGAACACTACTACCCGTTCTGTTTTAATTTCATACACAAAAAACTAGAAGTGATTGACAACAGGAAATTGGAAGAAGGTGTTGATATGGATGCCAAATATAGAAAATTTCCAACTACAATGGTAAATTTATTTGACTACTGTTCCAAATATTATCCGTATTGTTCCTGTTTGTCTATTGATTGTTCCTTAACAGATTTTGTATTGTTCCTAATTATTTTTAAACTGTATGTTTTGTTATGAAGATCAAGGCATTTGGAAAAGTACCGACATAAAATAAAATTGGGAATGGTCGAGCAGTATCGAGATTCAAACCAGTACTAAAGGAACTGAGATGGCAAAACAATGAAAATGTAAATGACTGCGGCGTATACACTCTGAAACATATGGAAAGTTATATAGGACAAACTGATTTACACTGGGATATAGGTTTCGACCCAAAAGATGTAAGTTATTATGCCTATTGTTCCATAAAATATGCCAATTGTTTATACCTGTTGTTCCATGGTATATTATCTGTTGTTTCAGTATTTATTTTCTATTGGTAAAATATTTTCAGTTGGAAGTAGTAAAGAAGATGGGGATAGAATATTGTGGCAAAATCTTAACAAGCCTAGCAAACACCTTACAGGATGAAGTGATAGCAAAATCAAAGGCCTGGGCATTAGAGTAGCTACGCCATGTACCGCAGTAATCAATGATAATTTTAGATTAGTTTATGTTTGGATGTTTTGAATGGATGTTTTTATGGATGTTTTATATAGAAAGTTTTAGATTTTAATAAGTTTGTATTGCTAGAAAAATAGATTATTAATATGGAACATTATGTATGTATTATTGGAACAATAGTAGTACTAATATGCAACAGTAATTATGCATGTTAGATGTTCTATTCAAAAAGATATACTATCACACTAAGTATAATATGCAAGAATAGTAGGCATATAAAATGAAACAACAAAATAGTGTTTACCTCTGTAATTGATTATATATGATATTAGATCCAGTTGCCCATATTAGATCCGGCAATGGCAGTAAACCACAAAATGTAGTTTGACGTATAACACTGAATGTAGTCCGTGGTATACCGCCATTACCAGAAATAATGTGGGAACAATAAGAAAATAAAAGAAATAGTGTTTGTAGAAGACTTAAATTGGTTGTGTTCAAATCAAGTCCAAGATACTTTATATAGAAGGCCACAAAAGTATGAAATGACATAAAAGCATGAATTGACACATCATTACATGTTTCCACATGAAACTGACAAGTGTTGGGTTGCTTTTTTGACTTTTTCCATTAATCTCTTCCCAAAGCTCTTGTGTCACACGTGATTTAAAAAAAAAAAGTGGACTTGTCAAATCATTACACGTTCCCACATGAAATCAAATTGTAGATTTTCTAAAACGTATACGTCTCCAAAGATTATTATTTAACTTTTCTAAAATGCAAATAAATGACTGTTTATACTTGGTGAAATTACTGGATATTTGAACTATTGTTTCATATGAGTAATATAATGTTCCATATAGTGAAACAATTGTTCCATATGTCAACACTGATGTTCCATATATGTGAATCATTTTTTCGACAACGTACAACCATTGTTCCATGTGAATCATATATTAAAATGGATGTTCCATATATGTCAAAACCGATGTTCCATATACTTAAATCATTGTTCCATGTGTTTGAACCATTGTTTCCGTAGTTTTTGAATTACTATTCCACATATTTGAATTACTGTACCAGTTATTTGACTGAATGTTCTCCGCATCTTAATATTTTCACTAATTAGTTATTGTTACACTGTTGGTAACTTACTGAAATCATTAGAACAAACAAAGAGGTGAGTAACAATAGTTTAATAAAAAGGAACAATAATTATACTAACACGAAACAATAAAACAAACTAGTATTTCACACGCGCAATTTTAAACTGTTTTATAAGGACAATTCCGAATATCATGATATGCAAGATCCCCACATCCACTACATTTCCTCTTCTTCTTATTACATTGTTTAACTGCTTTCTCCTTAGCGCCATTTAATCGTTTAGACCCACTGATTCCACTGCTATCATGAACACTTGTGCCTTTATTCTTCGACACTTTAGGAGGCTGAACCAGTATTTCATCAGGCATACTACATCCAATTAACATTTCAATGTCATGTTCATTTAGTCTTGCATTCTCACTTTCAACTGCAGTAACACTCTTTATGCCTTGAATTTTATTTTTAAACTCTCGAATATTCTTAATAAAATCTTGCTCACGACCTTTTACCCAACTCACACAAGAAAGTATCTCATACCACATTTCATTCAATACCACCCTCCTATCACCATCTATATCTGTACAACTTTTCTCTAACATTGGTTTCTAAGTAGCAGTTATTGTCCATCGATCTAAGATATATTGCTTTGGAATGTTTTTTAAATTCTTTTCTTTCCACATCCTTATCATATGTCTACATGGGATTCCTATCCTATAGAATTTTTTCCATGAGCATGTTAGTTTCATAATTAATAGACTCAAATACAACCTTAAACTTTCTTCTCCTATTAGCCTCAATAACTACTGCTATATCCATTCCATTTTCCTTCCTCAATTCATCCACACAACAAGAATAAAAAGCACTATAAACTTCATCTTGAAAATTATAAAAAGCAGAAACGGTGTATACCTTTGAACCATGCATCTCAATCAGCATTTCTGTCTTACATCGAGGGTACTTCTCCTGTGAATCATTGTCATTTTGTGCCTGACTGTGTCTTTGTGCATCCAACGCAGTTTCATACCTCATGAAAAACTCAACAAGAGACACATGAGGATTAATAAATGACGAAAAAAAACTATTCTCACTCTCAGACCTTGATGTAGTTCTCATAATTCCTCCCACAAAAATGCCTCTAAAATACGCAGGAATCTACATAAATCTCATCTCAAACATTAAATTAAGCCAATCATGGTCTTCTAAATTGAACTCAACAAGAACATCGTTCCACATCTCTTCAAATTCAGCTGGCTCAATATCTAATTCCAAACACACTTACTAAGTTTCTTCAAAAATTCAGTCTCCCGAGTGATACTCCTTCCTACTTTATCAGGCAGCTTTTACATAATATGCCACATACAAAATCTGCAGACCAATATCATTACAACAAAATAAGTATGAGACATTAGAACAAAATTTCGGAACAATGTCCTATAAAAATGGAACATTAACATAATAATTCGGAACGGATAAATAAAAATAAACAATAATTCGGAACACCTAATTAAAAACATGGATCATTAGAACAACATTTCGGAACAATGTCCTATAATACGGGAACATTAATATAATAATTCGGAACAATTAAATAAAAAAATAACCAATAATTTGGAGCAGATCATTAACAATGTGGACCAGTAAAACGATAATGTGAAACAATATAATTTAAAAATGGAACAATTACATAACAACTTAGAACATATTATAAACAATATGGAACATTTTAAGAAAATTAGTTCAGAACAGCTAATTAAAAATATGGAACATTAAAACAAGAATTTGGGACAATACAATAAAAAACTAGAACATTTAAATGACAATAGAATATCAGATACCTATGCTCACATTGCTCAAAAACAGAATTAACAGCAATCTTCATCGTTGGATCTTGATCCGTAATTAAACAATTAGGTTCTCTATGGCCCATTGCCTTAAGAAATGTTCTACATAGCCATTGAAATGAAACTACGTCTTTCTTTGCTATAAACCCAACAGCAAAAGTAACACATTTCTTGTGTGAATAGCCCCAAGACCATATTATACTTGAAATTAATACAAAAACTCATATAACCATTATTAATATATTTTAAACATAATGTTCTTCACACTTCCTCTATTGTTCCACATAACTGTTATAATGTTCCAAATATATAATCTAATGTTCCGTTTCTGTATAACATGAATTCATATATGAAAATACTAGTCAGCTTATACATATATAAAAATACCATTATAATACACATACAAATACCTGTTACTTTGGTAAATAGTATCAAAGGAGACCATATCACCAAAAACAACATAATTCTTCCTACAAATAGGATCTGCCCATAAAGCTCTACAAAGACAGCCATCTTCATCCATTTCATAATAAAAAAAATATGCTGACCACATCAATGTTTTCCTCTTAAAATTGTCAACAAACATCTGGGTGTCTAATCCTTCAATATAAGCCTTCAAATCTCTATGAAAGTTCTTGAAATCAGACTTGCTAGCACCTATATTCTCATATCCCCCAACATATTCCTTCATAATTTTGAATGTTTTCACAGGGCCAATATTAATCTGTGTACAATAAAAACAATAATAAAATTATTATAAATGTGTATAATAAGGTAGGTGAAAACCCTACCTTATATGGAAACCATGCTATATATGAGAACAAATCTAGGGCTTAATTAGATCTGACGGTGCACATTTAATTAAAAAAAGAAAAAGGAAATTGAAAACGAATCTTTATTATGGATGTGTACATTTAATTGAAAAAGAAGAAAAAAAAAGGATGCACGTTTAATTACGTCTGACGGTGCACGTTATTCTAAATGTGTAGTTCGAAATTCGAAAAAATTAATGCAACTGCTTGTAATTATTACTTTATTGTTCCATATATTTGAACTACGGCTCCGCTTTATTAACATATTTTTCCACTCAGTATGAACACATTTTTATAATAACTACTAATCCATTGACTTGAACTACTGTTCCATTTATAAGTTAACAAGTTCCATTTAGTTGAACGATTGTTCCATATATTTGAAGTCTAATAATTACAATAATTTTTCCTACAAACTATATTGTTTCATTTTCAAAAACTATTGTTCCATACAATTATACCTACATGAACCGTCATACATAATACCATATCTACTGATCCATATTCAAACACTATTGTTTCATAACATTGTGCCTAATGTTCCATATAATTAAACTAATGTTCTACAGTATGAGAAATATAAATCAGATTAATAAAACCATAATTAAATACCTTTGAATTATCAATAATCATTTTCTTATGCAACAACGTCAACTTTCTTTTCGACTTCTGAAAATGAGCATTGTTATGAGAATACATAGGATGAGTATGCCTTTCTTCAAATTTAGAAACAATATAACCTCCATCTTCATATCTCTTTAATATCATTTTGGCCCTACAACCAACTCGACTATCCAATCTTCTTCTAATAATACGAGTATTGCCTTGAACAACATTGTTTTCTTCTTCATTACTATCCCCTTATCTTGTACATCATTGTCTTCTTCATCTTGAACATCATTGACTTCTTCATTCATATCCTCTTTATCTTGAATAACATTGTCTTCTTCTTTACTAATATCTCCTTTATCTTGAACAACATTTTTCCATTTTTCCTTATACCCAGCTTTATTACACAAAATAATTTGAAAAGAAATCACACCATTTTTTTTTCCCGTAGATTTTCTAGTAATAAAACCAACAACAGCTGCATATGACTCGTAAAAACGTAACCCATCATCCACATTTGAAAATCTCATACCTATGCATGGTCTTATTTCACTATCACAACATGGAATCCATAGCTTTGTTCCACCAGGAATACAAACATGAACAACATTCGTCGTATTGCATTCAACTGAAACAACACAATTTTCTTCTACATCCATGCTTCATAACAAATGAAAAATGTTGATGAAAATTTCAGCAAAGAAAAAAAATCAGACCAAAACGTCATAACAAATGAAGAATGTTGAGGAACAATTTTTTAAGGATGTTGTTAAACGTCGTTCGCATTTTACTAGGTGACGTTCACATTTTTTACATGAATTTCCTAAATTGCCCTCCGTATATAAATACTCGATAAAGTAAGTTAGGGCTTTACGAGACATTTCCCATCTCACAAAATCACTCTTTGACACTTTCTCTCTCTAAAACCTTCCAAAAAATCAGAAATTTTGAAAAAAAAAAAATCAGAAATTTTTTTTTTTTAAAAAAAAACCAAAATAGTTGAAGGCTACTCAAACACAAGCAAATCTTGCAATCAAACGTTGAATCCGACAATGGCAGACCGACGGAGAATTAGGCTGACGTTTGGTGGTCGTGGTGGCGGCGTTAGCGGCGGCGAGCCGGTGAGTTTTTTTTTTAAAAAAAAATTTGAATTTTGAAAAAAAAAAATTCTGGACAAGGGGACTTCCGCCCAGAAATTCCGGAAGTCCAGGGGAACTTCCGGATTTTCTGGGCGGAAGTCCAGTTTCCAGGTTTTTTTTTTTTCTGTTTTTCCCCTTTTTTTTGGTTTTTGTTTTTTGTGTTTTTCTGTTTTTCCACCTTTTTTTTTGTTTTCTGTTTTTCCTTTGTTTTGTTATTTATGTTTTTCTTATTTTTTCTTTTTGTCCTCGATTTTGTTGATTTGGTGCATGTTTTAATTTGAAAATATTTGTGTCCTTCATTTTTTTTTTTTTGAAGTAATTTGTGTCCTTCATTTGTCGCATTAAAATAATTTTTTTTTGGATTTAGTTTTGCAATAGTTATTGATATGTAATTTTTGTTGATTTAGTTTTACAATAATTATAGTTTAGCATTAAAGTAAGTTTGTTGTTGCTATGTATTGTTATTGTTATGTAAATTTGGTTTGGTTTGTATTGGTTTTTGCTGCTGTTGTTGTTATGTATTATGGTTGTTTACTTAAATTGTTGTTATTGTTATTGTAATTGTTTTTTTTATTGGGTTGTCGTTGTTGCGTTTAAATTTTGGCAGTTTTGTGGTTAATTATAGTTTTGATTTGGTCTGTTATTGTGTTAAAATTATTTGTAGTGTGTTAGTGTGTTGTTATTGTTAGTAGTGTATTAGTATTGTAAGAATAATATTATTGTTATTATTTGTAATGCTGTTATTATTGTTTATTTGATTTGATTTATTATAGTTTTGATTTGATTTTTTTGACTATGAATTATTATTGAAATATGATTCTGTACTTATTTTTTAATGCAGATTGAGGGTTCTGGTCCTCGTCATGCAAGATCAAGACGTTTGAATGCGTCTGTTAGGAGGGAGTTAGGTGGTGCAGGACCTTCACATGCACCGTTTCAGCATGAGCAGCAGTATGGGATTGCTGGTGCTTGGTCGGGGGAGCACCAGTCACAGGGGAGCGCCCCCATGTATTCGTCTACTGGAGTGCCTTCATCAGATAAGGATGAGGATGAAGATCGAGGAAGTCAATCTGCTGGAGATGCACAGTACGACCCTCAGGATTACCGTACTGTGTATAGGGGTGACCATGGGAGATATGTTAACAGTAGTGAACCAGGTCAAGCTTCTACCAGCTCGTCAGAGTCATGGGTGGTGCAGGAGCCGATGCTAGGTGGGCCTGAGGATGGTACCGTTATTCCGAGTTTTGGGGGTCACGTGTCTGCCTACATATGGGGTGGGCAGGAGCGAAACGTGCTGCAGTGTTTGAGCAGGACACGGTTGTGTTCTGAATTGGGTAACTGGCGCACTCGTCTTCCGCCGGAGCACCTGGAACCGATTGATGGCACTGGTCTATCTCATTTACCCGGGATCATGTTCCGGCGATTTGACTGGCCCTTAATTTCTGCTTTTGTTAAGAGATGGCAGCCAGACACGAACACGTTTCACATGCCTTTTGGGGAGATCACGATCATGCTGCATGATGTGTATCATATTCTAGGGCTTCGTGTCGACGGTTCCATGGTTTCCACTACTCCTAGCACAGGCGTTTTACGGGACGCGTGCTCGGTTACCTTAGATATGACTGAGGAAGAGCTGAATGAGAAGTGCGGTACCAAAACCGTATGGCAGGGTAGTGGGGTCCTGACTGAGAGGATAGTGGAGTCGACCTTGGAGGCGCAGAGGCCCTTCAGTTTCCATTACAGGGCGTACCTGTGGTTAGTACTCGGCGGTTGTTTGTTTTTGGACAAGAGAGGAAACCGTACTCATCCTTCCTTCCTCAACGAGCTGTTTGTTGAGGATATTCAGATTAGTGAGTACTCCTAGGGTTCTGCTGTGCTAGCATACATGTACCGACAATTGGGTACAGCATCACGAAGAGATGCTGATTCTATCGCTGGTTGCCTTACGCTTCTGAAGGCGTGGATCTACGAGTACTTTCCGTGTTTTCGGCCTCAGCAGGGGACCTTGACCAGAGAGCTTGCTATTCCTCGTGCGTCCGCCTGGGATTTTGGATCGGGGTGCCCTAACAAGAGCATGGAGCGCCTTCTCGCTTTTCGGGCTAGGTTGGATCATTTGACTGACAATGAAGTTAACTGGCTACCGTACGGAGTTGATCCAGCACGACGCGTGCCTGCTACTCTTTTCATTGGCTGCATCCAATATCGTAGCATCATTGAGCCATACATGCCTGATCAAGTGGTTCGGCAACTTGGATACGTCCAGGGCATTCCACCAACCATTATCAGGCCTGAGAAGGCTAAGAGACCGACGAACTTGAAGATGTATCGGGTTGACTTTCCGCCAGAGATGACATCTGTGATGTGGACTCGGTTTGTCCTTGGTATGTCTTTTAGTGTCGTGGTAGGTGCCCTCAGCAGACTTGGTGGTGGTGCTCCTACAGTCGGTCCTGGTTACATGCAGTGGTTGTACCGATTTTCTCATCCACGTGTTTCTCCAGTTGCGTCATCACATGAGAGTCGCACACTGCCAGAGAGAACTAACACGGATTACGTAAGTAGTTGTATTTTTTGGTATAATTTAATAAGTTGCTATTTTAATATGCTGTTTATAATATGTTGTTTTTAAAATCCGATTTTTAAATATGTTGTTTTTAATATGTTGTTTTTTTTTTAAAAAAAACTTGTGATTTATTTAATATGTTGTTTTTTTAATTGAAGTGGATGGGTCGGTCTATGGAGGTCATCAACAGGACCCTGGAGGAGTATCCGAGCCTATCGCGTGATACAAGAGCAATGACTGAGGCGCTACGAGCTGATTGGAGGGCGATGATGGGGTTGTGAACTTCCTGTTTTTTTTATTATTTCCCTTGTACGCATTTCGTTTATGTACTATTTATTCGTCACGTACTTTAAGTATTGAACAACTGTTTTGGTGGTTTTGTAAATATTTTGTTTAATTAAGTTCAATTCGTTGCAAATTACATAACGACAACTGTTTAACATAAATGAAAGTACAACAACATGTTCACTATCTAATTAAGGCATCCCACATGTTCCTTCTAGCTTCGTAACGCTGATCCCAACAGTCAACACTTGGGTCGTGGTGCTTGGTCCACCAACCTGCAACCGGGGGAAGTGGCGAATCAGGTGTAAGTTCAATACAAATAAAATGTGAGGCCCCAACTGTAGCGATGACAAACTCTCGCTCCAGTTCTGTGACCCCCCTTCTTGCCCGCAACGGCAATATCGTGAGGCATGGGTAGTAGCAAGTTGGTGTTTGGCCTACACCAAGAATAATAACCGCTGCGTTGAACCAAGTCGCAATAGGAAATAAATCTTGTATTGCAACCATCCAATGACGGGAATCAACCGCCCCACCGTCCCATCGAATACGCTGCACATTGATCTCAAGTCTTCCAAGCCCATAAATCCTCTTATATAGGGCTCGATAACCGAGGACCTCATTCGCTATTGTCTCTCGAGCGTCATACCATGGATACACAATCATTGGATGGTTGTGGGTCCCAGTTACATCATCTTTCGCCCGGATAAACCAAGTATTGGTGACGAACTCGTAACATATCTTGATGTAGAAAGGACAACCAATGCCCTTGGTTTTAGTGTCCTTCCGAATTGCGTTCTCAAGATCTCTCGGCTTACTCCTGCGTCCCCGGTCACATCTTAAATATCGAACTGGTCGACCATCCCTCTGTTTGTTGAAAGACGATTTCACCAAAATAAATCCCAGATTTATTGCAACAGCATCCGCCCATGTAACTGCATCGTCAAACGTTAGAAAAACCGTGTCTGTCACAAAATGTGCACTGTAATTCACAACGTCACCGTCGTCTTCAACCTCCGAATCCTATCAAAATAACAATACAAACAAATAAAACACGCAAGGATTACTATTTTAAATTTAACAATAATAATAACAATAATAATACAGATAATCATAATAATAATAAAAATAACAATAATAGCAATAATAATATTAATAGTATTAATAGTAATAATAATAATAATAATAATAATAATAACAATAACAATAATAATACTAATGATAATAATAATAACAATAATAATACTAATGATAATAATAATAACAATAACAATAATAATACTAATAATAATAACAACAATAACTACGTAACATTAACAAATAATAACTAATATAATAATAATAATAATAACAACAATAGTAATAATAATAGTAGTAATAATATTAATAATAATCATAATCATAACAGAAATTTACAAAATTAACAAAACTAATATTAATAACCATAATAATAATAATAATAATAATAATAATAATAATAATAACAATAACAATTACGTAAAAAAAAAAACAAAAAAACAAAAAAAAAAGGACATCCACTTGTTTTTTACGGAAATCTGGGGGAGATCCGCCCAAAATTTCCGGATGTCCCCAATAACATCCGGAAATTTCATCCGGATGTGTACATCCGCCTGAAATTTCCGGATGTTATTGGGGACATCCGGAAATTTTGGGCGGATCTCCCCCAGATTTCCGGAAAAATCAAGCGGATGTCCTATTTACAAAAAAAAAAAAAAATTCCGAAATACTTACAGATTCTTCAGTCGAACCCTCCGGCGTGTGAACGTTGTCGTCGTCTATCGTAAAACATCACTCCGTACACTTTCCTTTTCTGGCCCGGGATTTTTAAATTCCTCGGGATCACCGTACAATGGTGGAACCGGGATTTTTTAATGCTCGGGATTTTTTTAACACAAGTGGTGGGCTCGGTAATGTTTTTAATGTTGCCGGTAACTAAATTTACCCATGGTGGACCTTTAAATAGATAAAATATCCACAAGGGCAAAAATGTCATTTCAATTAAAAATGTGAACGTCACCCAGTAATTTGCGAACGACGAATAGCAGTTCAGTTTTTTAATTACAATTCAAAAAATGGGCGGCTTAAATCTCTTGGTTTTCCAATGCATATTATCGTGTTTCAATGTAGAAAATTAAAAAAATTAAAAATAAAAACCATGTTCCAAGAAAGCAATGATGACTGATTGCATGTTCCAATACAAAAAAAAAAAAAAGAAGCCCACATGTACAAGTCAGCAATCCGAAATTCAATCTCAACCATCCATAATATGAAAACGGATGGTGTAAGATGAGTTCTCATCTTTAGAATGGTTCTCACTTAAGCTAAGGGTTCTTACATGATCCCATTTCTCTCTCTTTATATATATAAAGATTACTCTTTTTTTTTAATTTTTTTATTTTTACGATTTTTATAAACCAATGTACCTCATGTGCTTAGCCACATATAAGACTTATCCGGAAAAATATTTTACTCCACATTTTTCTCAAGGAAAGGTAGACAAAAGCTAGACAAGAACATAAAAGAACAGATAGACTCGATAGAGTACCAAATTAGCAATTGCGTATTTGCGTACAGCCTATTTTTTTCCACGAATTGTTGTTATTCATAATTTGATTCAATCAATCTGAGTGTTTGAGAAAGGACGAAAATGGCGACAAAATCAGCAGATGCAAGCAGCAGCACTGCTGCTGTTCAAGCCACTAATGACGACGCTTCTGCTAGCAAATTGTGAGCGATGTCTCTTTGTAACCCCAACTTTTATTTTTATTTTTATTTTTTGATTACAGCAATATTTATGCATATTTTTATTCCTGTTGCAACTTGAATTTTCTGGGATTATTTTTCTATTTATTGTTGAGCCGATTTTATTTATGTTATTTCGTATGTGTTTTGGATCATCGATTAATTTTTGTGTATGTGTTGAATCGATTTTATTTTTTATGTTCTCCCACTTTAGCCTATATTTTGCTATTTTCACCTAATTTTGATGGTTGGAACTGTAAGAATTGAAATGGTCGACTGCAATTTAAGAACACAACTCTATTGCTACGAAAATTCACCGGTATCGTGGCCTTGTTGTGGCTTGTTTTTTTGATAAGAAACCCAAATGGCCTTGTTGTGGCCTTGTTTTTTTGATAAAAGGGGGAGGGGGGGGGGGTGTTGTTGGGGGTGAGGTGGGGTGGGGAGGGGAGGGCGGGGGGTGGGGGTTTAAGCTTTACTGATTTCTTAACACGGGGTTGCCAGCTATAAAGGAGGCGTTATCTGTCCCAAGAATGTGTGATCCATTGTTTGGAGATGCAGGCGTTGCAGCATTCTCTTTAACGAGGAGGCAATGCATCATTCATGAGTTTGGGTCCAGCAGTGTGTGAATTGGGAAGTGTTTAATCAAGGGCCTGTACATGAATGAAGTTAATTGAGAGCTGTGAGGCTAATGTTTGCTAATTGTGTGAACAAGAGGTTGCTGTTTGACTGGCTGCAGTGAGAGGAACGGAGGAAAGCTTACCACATTTAATTTGCTTGTAAATTAATTGGTTATATTAGTGTTAGGATGGGGTGGGGAAGTAAGAAAAAGAAGATGGAACAGTGAGTATTTCAACTGATGAGGAGTTAGATGACATGCAAAAGGAAGATGCTATAGATTATGTGTTTTTTAGGTTTTGAAGGCTTGCAGAAACAATGAGATCATGATGCCCTTGTTGTAATTTTCAAATTTGATCGTCCTTGAAGGTAATGACAGCTTTCAACAGCTAAAAGAGTAACTAATCCTTCGCTTAAGAAGCTGAGTACCAATATGAATCTAATAATTTACTTCATATGTTTATGTGTAGATTTTAACTGTATGTTATCAATTCTTTAGATAAGGTTATAGATAATACTTAATGTAAGTTGTCCATCACATGTTCTTTAGAAATACATGCTGGCTTCAGTCGTTAGTCGAGTAATTTAATTTATTGTCATGGAGATTTTGGAAGACTTACTTGTGAACCATAACTTATACAGTATATATTTTTTGCCTAAAGAACATTTACTATTTTGTGCTGTATGAATGCGTAGACTTTAATTTGTATCTAGAAGAAAATAAACCTGGACCTGCAGGTGACTTGCAATTATTGTTTGTTATTAACCTAGCTCTATGTGAATCTGATTACTCCTCTCCTTAATAATTGTCTTAGGTCTTGTGTGAAAAAGGGATACATGAGAGATGACTACATCCATTTGTTTGTGAGAAGGCCTGTAAGGAGATCTCCTATAATTAATCGTGGTAGGCTTAGTTGTAGTAAGTTTTTTCATATTTGACCGTTGCGATATGTTTCTCCACTTATCTCTTAATTATGTATTTATCCTTTTGAAGGTTATTTTGCCCGTTTTGCTGCTCTTCGCAAGCTTCTTTTCCAGTTTCTCAATACTGATGATCAGAATAGGAAGCAAGTTCTATCACTTGGAGCAGGCTTTGATACAACATATTTTCAGTTGCAGGTACATTTTGCTTTATGATCTTGTAGTTTGAAATGGATGCTAGAACTTTACCAGCAATTGTTCCCTTTCTGGTTTCCTATATTCAAAGTCCACCTCAACCTGGAGTTGCATATATGTATTAGTCCATATATTATGAGATGTTTTATGCAGTTCGAGCAAGAGGGTTTCCTTTTCTTTTTTTCCCTTAATCCCTTAAACCCTTAAATGATCCCTCGTAACCTCGTTAATGAACTTCTTGGTTGCGTTTTATTTTAAGTTAGAACTGATTTCGGAGTTATAATTGATTATATATAATGTTCATTTGGGCAGTAGGCTGGTTTTTTTTCCCCCCACTAAATATACATCACACATGTTTTATTGGTTGCTTCTTAAGTTCTTAGTTCTTGGGTTGCTAACTTGCTACTATAATTCATAACTCCCACATTGGTATATAACTCTAAAATTTGAAGCTAATGATTATCTGCTACATGTGGCAATTATCATAGTATGATATGTTGCTTTAAATGGGTACAAGATTCAGCCTTTAGGTCTTTTACAAAAATTTTGGGATTATTATCTGGAACATAGTTAGCTTTGTCTAGACCATTTGACATGATATGCTAATAATTATGATTGTCTTTATTGTACTTAGTAGGAATGTATATTGATACATGTGCAATGCTTCTTTCTATTAGGCGGAAGGAAAGGCACCATACCTATACGTGGAGCTGGATTTTAAGGAGGTAAAATTGTGAGGCTTTAGATATTGCTTTAGCATTTGTCTAGTAATAGTTATTTGGTTTATACTCCAACACCCCCCCCCCCCAGTTTTACGTGTGGGTGAAGGTGGGAGAGTTTAATACTATATTATCTACTTATCAAGCAAGATTTTCAAGGTTGTGGGAACTTAGAGTTATAGGCATTCAAATTGGCAACAGATACTTAGAAGATAGATCACTTTTGCTACCATATAAACATATTTGACATTTCTGGGACTTCTGTTTAGTAAACTTTCACGGGATCCCAACTATCTGTAGAAAATATATGTTTTCTTTATTTCATTTTTGGATCAATATGAACTTATGAAGTTATATTGCATATTAATCTTTAGGTGACTAGCAAGAAGGCTGCATTAATTGAATTTTACAATGAGCTGAAAGAAAAACTTGGTCCAACAGCTTCGATTTCACGAGGTTAGACTTTCATAATTACTGTTAGATTTCTGTAAGTCAACATGCCTTAACAATCAAATCATTTGATCCAGAACTCTTGACACTTGTGTATGTAGTCGTACTGAGCTTCTACTACTTATGTTTGTGCTTGATAGCATGCAATTGATTACCTTTTTTATTAAATGATTTAAAATGGCATCATCAACACCTTAATTAAAGGTGCATGCTTGGTGTTATATGTATACTGCCTATTGCTCTAAGCCTTTTATAGATCTTCAGTGCTGGCATCTGTACCCCTGTGGCCTGTGGGTCATTTTTTTTTAATTTATTTGTGTGTGTGTGTGTGTGTGTGTGTGCGAGCGTGTGCGCACGTGTTGCATGGCGGCTTTATGTTCGTTTGTTTACTTACTGCAACTGAATTGAAGTATTCTGATTGTTTTAAGAGGATTCCATCTGTACCACTTTGTAGCCTGCCTGACTGCTACCACTTAATTGGAAATTAACTTGCTGCTGACTTGATATTTTTTGGCCTGTGCAGAAAATGGAGAAGTGCATGGAGATCATTACAAACTGCTTCCTGTTGATTTGAGGGACATTCAAAATTTAAATGATATAATAGGTTTAGCTAACCTTGATCCCAGGTATGCATGAAATTTTCTGTTTCACTAACAATTAAATCACTAGTTCTGTTAAAGTAAGTGATTGTTAAAGTTGGTGAAGCGTGAAGATCCCCTCCGGTTCAGCAGTTGTATTTTTTTTACCTTAAGGATAGAAGGAGGGTTAATACCCTGAGTATGATTCTCATTCTGCAAGCTCTGTTGTTTTATAGTTTGAATTCTATGGGTTCGATATGTGGTTCTAGCTTCTTAAGAAGTAGAGGATGGACAGAAAATTTGTCAAGATAATATAAGGGAAATTATGTGCCAATTTTTTTGTTGTCAACCGAATGAAAGTAAATCAGTTCTTTGGTCAGATTGAATATATCTTATCCCATGCTCCCCTGTGTGGTCGCTCAACTCTCTTCAAATTTAATTTGTCATCCATATACATTTGCTTAATTTAGCAAGGATGTGGCTAGATGATAATGCTTATTCTGATGACAATATCAGTCTGCCAACATTTATTATTGCAGAGTGCGTTTTAATATACTTGGATCCTGAGTCAAGCCGTTCTATAGTTGGTTGGGCTGCAAAAACATTTTCCACAGCTGTATTTTTCCTATATGAGCAGGTTATACATCCTTGATTCACAGCTGTTTGTCTTCTTGGAGTCACCCCTTTGTACGATGTGCTTATTTCTGTATTCATTTTTTACAGATTCATCCAGATGATGCTTTTGGAGAGCAAATGATTCTTAACTTGGAGGTAATTATTTTTACAATTTTTTTTTTTCAATCTTCTACTCTTCTTGTGATAACTATATTACCTCAAGTTTTCTTTCATATCTATGAGATCAATATGATTAAATACATCTTCTTTTCAAGTCCTTTTCTATCTGCATGCTACCCTATTTGCACTTGATTTTGGCTTTACCTTGCAAATCCTGAAGAAATTATTCTAATACTCCATTTTTACCTTCGTTTGTTTTGTCTTCCACTACTTAGTGTATGATAATCTCTTGTTTTTTCTTTTAGTGCCGTGGTTGTGGGCTCTTAGGCATACATGCTACACCAACTTTGGAAGCGAAAGAAAGGCTTTTCCTTGATCAGGGATGGCAGGTATAATTTGTACTTTCTGTAATTACTTGGCTACTTCACTTCCAAAGTTTAAATTTTTTGTTATGGGATGTCTTTTTGAGAATTTGAGTTTATATTACATGATATTCCCCTGAAAGCAACTCATTCCTAAGGAACAAGTCACCCGAAGATGAGTAAAGCCTGCAGTGTGCGATCCAAGACTGGTAATGGGTACTTTGGACGTGATAGTTCATCTAAAGTCAACTGATGAGATTGGCTATTATATATAATTATTCACAAGAAGCAAAATATTATTTTTCCATATTATTTAAAAGTTAGGTACATCAATGAGCAATTATTGAGATTTTGTTACTAGAATTCCGCATATGTGGTTAGTTACATGATATACAATGACTAAGCTTGCCTTTTTGCTTTTGATTGTTATTGGTGTACTCTATCTATGTATTTTCTCTTTTGTTTTTCCTAATTATATATTTTAAAATATATGCGATGTTTCAGAGGGCTACTGCTTGGGACATGCTGAGAGTTTACAGTGAATTTATAGATTCCCAAGAAAGACGCAGGTAGATTCTTTATAACTTCTTTCATAATGAAGTTGCATTTTCTACTTTGCGTGTGGGTAGTAATGTTATTGTCGAGCTGGGTCGTTTGGAAAAGGTTATACTGTGTTTGGATACCTACTTGCATTTGCAGATCAGAAGGTGCAATATCTTCTTGTTGGTTCAAGAAGTGAATAAATTCTATGCTTTGTCAAGGAGGTGATGGCTCGATATTATCATGGTGTACTGAATTGTAGTTATGTTGTTTACGGGATATTAAAATTTCAGATGGATTTATAAATAACATAATATTTTCTTTTATCTAGAATGCCTTTTCAGGTTAATAGTATTTAATTTTCTGACTTCTATGTTACACATGTCTAATTTTTTTAATTTTCATTTACCTGCTTTACTTATTATGCACCCTTCCCAGGTAAGCCCACCTAAAGTTTCTCTTTCGTAATATTGTGTTTAGGATTGAGCGCCTGGAGTTATTCGATGAATTTGAGGAGTGGCACATGATGCAGGCAAGTTTTTATTTCGTTGTTTCATTATGTCAATTATGGTCCTTGTAAATTAAACATACAAGTTGGGTGGAACCATCTTCCCCTTGAGCCTCAATCTTCCCCTTGAGCCTCAATATAAAAGCTAGTGCTTCTGATCTTGATACGTGAACTCATCTTGCTCTAGATGTATTGAATTTGTCTGAGCTTGTTTTTTTTTTATAAACTCACAAGCTTTGATCGATTTTGTTTGCTATCGGTTCGCAAACTTGTTAGACCAAGATTATAAATGAGCTATATGTAGTCAGTTTGTTTCTTTGCTTTTTGTATGGCACTATAATGGACAATTGGACACGTTGGGGTTTGAGGGGCGGGGGGGGGGGTGACTAGGTGAGGAGCGGCCTGTATTGGGTGGTCCCGGAAATGAAGGTGGGGTGAACCGTGAAAATCTAGGTAGAACTAAGTAGCAGTGAGGAAGAGATTTGTAGGTGGAGGAATTCAGGGTTGGGGTATGGTCAAATTTTCAACCATTCTCTATGATGTAATGTCATAAGAGATGGGCTATTGATTTGGTCCCCCTTAAGTGATGACTTATTCATCCAATGACCATGAGGGCTTTTCTTCAACATCTGTGTATGGGATAAATTTCCTTAATTGTTGTCCTGCTAATGATGTTTTCTAATACCAAGGGTGAGAGTGACTAATATGCTATATGATTTTAAGTAGCTTTGTTGTCCCAAATGTCTGATAACATTACTCTTTTGACTTTAAACAAATTTCTTCTATACACAAACATTTAGCCATACACATGAAAGTTATGGATCAAGGATGCCTACAAAGTTAAACAGATGAATGATATATATACAGTTTTTGGACTTGAGTTCATGGTTTCCAAGAGTTTGTCTTTGTAGACAACTCTAACTAATTATTTACCCTTTTATGCTTGGCATGCGTTTTCATGATCTTGAAAAGCATGTGACAATTTAGGTTCTATTTATTAGTTTGTGTGCATAAAGTGAAAGGTGGTTATTTTTAGTACTTTCACTTCAACCAAAATGAAGTGACTAAACTAAATGTTGCTTGTTTTTAAGATCCACTTGGATGTAAACTCTTGGTAGAATATTGAAGTCTGGTGATGGTTTCAGCTGACTGCATTAAGCTGAGTTTATCTCGGTGGTGAAATATCCTCGATCCATGGTTCAGTACATGTGCTGGATTCAACTGCAAGAAGTTGCTCCTTGGATATTATTTTTAAAATACTTATAACGGAGTATCATTTTCTAAAACCCCCAGAGTCTGCACTTTTCCCTGTAGGTGTCCCTGAGATTTAGAACTTTGCCATAGTTATGATTGCTAACAAACTTTTTCTCAATTTCTTCTACAGGAACACTACTGTGTTGCTCTTGCTATGAATGATGCTCTGGTATGTTCTCGTACCAACCATCCAAGTTCTCACAAAATGAGTTTGGACGTGTTATTTTTATCAATAGATTATGCCTGTACATTTTTCAAAAAAATAAATAAAATTGGTCGGCCTTCAACTATCACTTTCTGATAGCTGTACGTAGAGAATCTGACAAAATAAATGCATGACTGCATGAGGATTACTTCACCCATTTTCAACAAATATTTTTCTTCTTTTCCTAGATGTTCCTTACACTTGCACATATACATAGTTGTACAACATATCTAGCAAATCATGTACAGTGATACAGGTACCGCTATATTCTGCTGCTTAAATATCTGACCTATCCGCCTTCTCAAAATCATGCTTCAGGGCATATTTCTGAATTACGGCTTTCACGAGAACGATGAGAAAAAAGCTAGCTCCACTCCAACCAGATCATGATCAAAGCAAGGATGCCAACTACACAAGCTCATAATCAGTTTTAGTAAGTTTGGTACAATGAAGAAGTTCATGAAATGTGCATGTTAATTTGCTCCCAACTTGCACTAGATTAGACTGAGAATGAAAACCCAAGAAATACAAAAAACTTCAGCACTAGTCTACAAAAGGATATAACATGTAGTATAATGTGGTCCGTGTATGATGTTTGACTTATAGGAAGATCTACATTTTCTATTCTTTTGCTTAGCTGTTTTCGCAAACGAACGTGGTAGGGACCTTTCTTTAACCACATAACTGGTGTCACCCATGGACTTGTGGGGGACTTTGTTTGGGTCTTTGTTATTTCTAATCTGACCCCTTCTTTTTTTATCTTTTTTTTTTTTTTTCTTTTAATCTTTTTGGCTTCTCTTGGGTAATTAATATTTAGTATGCCTTTGGTTTGGGTGGTTCTGGAATTCTTCTGCTTTCATAATTACCCAAATTGCACATTTCTTTTTGTCGTGTGTTTGATTATTGCACATTTGATGGTGGCCTTATTTTGTTGTATTTGTGGTTTTGCATTATTTGATTGGATATGATTCTGAATTCTGATTCTCCTAGGCAGACACTACTCTAATATCTCGCTGAAAACTACCCCGCACCTGGCGGGTTAGATGGGAAAATATCTGTGAGGATTAGCATTTGATTTTGAAGATATAGTGGTTGATTTTTTGGATCTCATGAGAAAAAAAATCTGATGCCTTTGCTTGTTAGATTCCTTTCTCGTTCCATGCTACCGCTCCTTTGAGCTATATAGTTATCTAAATGAATTATGGCATGGTCCGATGCATCAGTGTGCATTACAAAGGGTTTGTCAAAGACGGTCAGAGTAAGGACAGGCTCACAGGCTGTTATTTTTCTTGGAAACTTTTTTTCATAATAGTCAGTAGAAAACTAGAAATTTTTTATCCTTATTTTTTGTGCTCTTCAAAAAGAATCCTTGGGCGTTCATCTAGACTGTGCTGCTTTTAGAATAAGCTAAGGAAGAGTAGAGATATAGATTTTCCGACAAATGATACACCATAGCGATTTCCATCTGAAGGCATGGCCCCAAAGCCTCTGTTGGTGGCGGGTTATCCTTGAAAGGTAGATGAGAGAAAAGAGTGAAATCAAAAGGCAGCCATTTCAATAAAATCTGGGAAATGTTCATTTAAAAGTGTTGTGTACTTGTGTTTAGGTTATTTACATGACGTGCCTGTCAAAAAAAAAAAAAAAGGTTATTTACATGACGTGTAAGTTATAACGTGTTTAGTACAAATGACACTTTGACGACATAGCAAAACACTCGTACTTGATTAAGCACTGAACAGTTTGAACCTTAGGATCTTAACATTTTGATCCTTCCTTTTATTTTGATTTTTGAAAAACTTTGAATTAGCAACCTAGTTTCAAGATACTGTAAGTGGGAACATGTTCATGGAAATTATAGAATAAAGTGGACCCACTTAGAGATCTCTTTTATAGAAGATTTGAATATTGGTATTCTCCTGTATCATCTTGGAAATTTTGGACTCCTTCAGAATTGAACTGAGCTAAGTGGACCATATATATTTTGGGTTTACCTTTTGAGGAAGAAGAAGAAATATTGTTTGGATTTATACTCCATTTTTACTTTACTTAGGATTATGCATTGGATTCGAAGCTTTATAATTATTTATCTTATTGTTTTAACTGTCTTGCTTGTAATTTTACTACTTTATAGGGTTTTGCTAATCCCCAAATTTAAGGGAAAGAAAATTCAATGCCTTGAGCTTTGGGTTCTTGGGATGTCCTTCACTCCTTCCTTAGGCTGGGGTAGGAGATTTTAGGTTAACTTCAACTAGTTTGGGTGCGTATAATTGGGTGTGAACCTATTCATTTAGTACTCCCATTGCAGTTGACTATTAAGTTTGTTTTTGTATCAGCACTGTATAATAATAAGTGAAAGGTTAGCCATTTGCTTATTGCACTATGAGTGGTTTATTGGGTTAAGAATAAGCACAAGTGCGGTTGTAAGATTAGGTAGTGTGTGCGTGTGCGCATGGGGGGCGGGGAGGGTTGATACTATACTTCGATAGCTAGTCTATTATGTAATACTGAAATAACAGTCCCTATTGTTCGTGTACTTCGAATCAGCATTGTGATTTGTGACGACAAGGTTTTGGACCGAGGGAGTATAAAATTGGGTGATTATTTCTTTTATAAGAAGAGTTTTACTTTAAAGGAAACTCATAAACTGAATAAAGTGAATGTAGTGGTAATGTAACGTTAGAAACCAACTTAATTAGTTTCCTACATGAATGTTTTACTATAGTAAAGAAAAGAATCGGATACTCACAAGTCTGAGATATTCAACAGGATAACCAACAAATATCTGGATGGTCCAGGACAAAAAAAAAGGGTCTGATTACTGAAAAATGAGGGTAAAATAAAGTTACAAAGAGCCTTTTCCACCGTTAACGTTGTTTCCTTTATGTAAGTGTGAAAGGACATTAAGGGAATATTTGGAGGACAGTACAGTGCTCTTGGAATTTTGGTTGGACTCAATTTTGAGAGTTTAACTACTCTATCCATCCATGAAAATTCATCGTGTTAATATGAGAGTAGGGTAATTCGTTTTGAAATTTTGTTGTTAATATTCAGGTGCAAACGCTTGGAATATTGTTTATATGTACTTTGTATAGTGCGGAGTATGAAGTATTTGTTCTCGATATGTTTGTCATATAGTACTAATCTTTTAGGGTTTTGGGACATATAATCTTTTGAATTCCCCCCCTTCTTTTTCCTCAAAAAGGAAACTAGTTATTCGATGCTAAAGGAGGAAAAATAGCCGCAGAATTACTTTATTTTACAATTACAATGATGTGTGTGACTAATTTATTGCTTCACATCCATTTTGCTGTTGCACTGCATGGAGGACGTGACGTTTAGGATTGCTCCTTGCTCGGTGCTGGAGATCAACGTCTACTACTTTACTCGGTATTTATTATGGAACTTCATAATATTTGTCTTTTGTGATTCTCTCTTAAAAATACGTGATTCTCGTATTACTTTATATAAAGTATTTAATAATAACAGTATAGCACGTAATGTTAAGTACTTGAAATCACTTTTTAAGTTCTTAATACGAATTTAACATCATACAAAGTGTTTTATAGCGAGTATTGTAACTTATATCAATGTCTTAGCAAGCAACTTATTGGTTCAGATCAATCTTTTAATTAATAATAATGAAATCTTTCCAAATTAGGACAAATTTAAAAAATGGATTATTAGAAAGTTTGGCATGTAATGTATTAATTACAGTCCCATAACTCCATAAACTATGGATTCATCGAGTTATCCAACATAAATATATAATTGTAGGTTTCATTGATATACCTCCCAAAATTTGGCTTCTAAAAACCTTTCTAATGTATTTTAATTTAATTTGGACCGAATGTTCATATGTCCCTACCGTATAGGTACACTAAATAACGCCAGCGTGTAGCTTAGTTAAGCACTAATTAAATAAACTACCACTGTGAAATGTAGTGTGAAAAGGGCTTAGGTGTTCTTTTCCATGCTGCCATAGATAACCCAGAACCTGGGTTCAATTACACTGCCCAACAAACATTTGTTTTGTCCTCAAAAACACCTTTTTTACGCAAATTTTTTTGGTAATTTAAAGCCTACTAGACACTAACTAATCTGAATTTTAGTCGAAATAAGGGTCCGTTTGGTAGGGTGTAAAACATTTTCAATGTAAAATGGTTTTCCATGAAAATCATTTTACAATGAAAAACTCATTTTCAAAAAAGTTTTCCGTTGTTTGGTTGAATGGAAAATGATTTTCCATTTTAAACATTTTCCATTGTTTTGTTGAACTGAAAATTCAATTGTGAGGGAAAATGTTTTCCCTCCACTTGTGATGGAAAATGTTTTCCTTCTAAATTGGGGGGAAAATATTTTCAATTAGGTGGAAAATGATTTTCCACCCCAAGTTTTACATTTTAATGTTTTACACCAAACCAAACAATGTAAAATGGGAAAACGTTTTACGTCCTACCAAATGAAGCCTAAGCGTTAATTTTGGTAGAAAGCTCTTCTATTAGCTGATTCAAGCACTTTACATCCTCATAAATAATTTGATGTAATAACTCTAACAACTTATCTTTGAAAACCACCCATACGACCCTTTTTCTTATTCATTCGTCACATGCATATGTTCTCTACTCAAGTAGCAACATTAATTCTTCACAAAAAAAAAAAAAAAAAAAAAAAAAAAAAAAAGAAGAAAAAAAAAGCACATTAATTTTCATATTATGGTAATGCCGTAAAATAGGTGTGCGTCGAGTCCTTACCATAAATTTTCATTTTTTATGATAAGGACTCGATATATACCTATTTTAAAATTTATGGTAAGGACTTGATATATACCTATTTTAATATGTTGCATTTACCATGCAAAAAATTAGTGAAGATGGAACCTCTAAGTTAAATGTACAAACAAAAGACAGCCTTCTTACATAGGAGAATCATCTTTTTATACAAACCAACAGCCTACAAACAGCCTTCCATAACTCAGCCATATAATTTAGTTTACTATGATAAAATCTGCACCATATCATTAACCATAAATCAACTATTGCCGACCAAAATTTATAAAGTGATAAATTATCTTTACCTTACTACTACACAATTATTAATTTAATCAAAGACTGTCGTCTCTGATTAGGTGAAATATAAGCAACAATATTGTTCCAAATTAGTGCATAGAATATTAATTATTATTATTATTCTGTTAATTAAATCCGCGTGTCTTCTTCACGTCCTTAGCTTAATCGCTTAATTTAGTTGATTAATTTATTTAATTTTGTTGAATTGTTAAATAGAAAAAAGGAAAGTTGGAAGAAACTACTGTGCTAAATTGTAAAAAAGTAAGTAGAAAAGTGTATTCCCTTGGAAAAATGGATGTACAACAAGGCTACGTGCATCTAATTGTATTTTTCGAAAAAGTAGGTAGTTTTTTTTTTTGCTTTTGTGTTTTTTGAGCGAGGAAAAGCGTATTTTATAGGGTTTTTTGTTTTTTTGGTTACAAAGTACTTTATTAAGAGGCTTAAAAGAGAAGGATATTTGAGGAGAGAAGGATATTTGAGGAGAGAAGGATATTACTCCTTAATTTCTTATTAGTAAGTAGTAAATCAAATACGAAGTAATTAACAAAAAATTATTTATATAACACTATTTGAAATGGGTAAACAAAAAAAGTGGATTATTGAATTTAGGCATTAGGCACTGTTAGGATGTAATGTTTCAATTATGACTCTTATGAGTGTCAAAAGAGGCTATATTGAGTCGGTGGTAAATGACTCATGTTTGGACATTATAAAGGTATTTATAAATCTATAATTACAATTTATAAAAAGAAGTTGCAAAAATTGCTAGTTATAACTCTCGAATTTTGAAAAATTAATTAAAGCTTCATTTGATTCAAAAATCTTTACAAATCACAAATTCAACATTTTAAAACATTAGGGAGTAACAAACTTTAAAATAAATTTTCCTATAAAACTCTAAATTTCCATAATCACTCTCAAGTCTCAACTAACCACATAATTAAAGTTATGACAAAAGTTTATCATCTTTGCCCCTTTCTTCTTCCTCATCTATCACCTTTTTTTTTTTTTTTTCTTTTGTATTTTTCTTTATACTCGTATTGAAAAGTCAATTACTAATAAGACATGTCCTATCAAAAATAAATAAAAATAAAATTAAGACATAAATACAAGTATATTTTTTAATAAAAAATAAAATAATAAAAAGAAAAAGGCAACAGTTATCTCTTATTACCAGTAAGCTACTCTCTACTCTACTACACAGTACACTCCACTCTTCTTCTTCCTTCCTTCTTCAACCGTCCTTTCTCTCTCTAAAAAAAACCACCATGAAATCACTCCAAAATCGCCATTTCTAACACCCCTTCTCTCTCCTCCACTTTCTCTCTCTAAAACCGCCATTAAAATGGGGTGCACGGCTTCAAAGCTCGACAACGAAGACACTGTTCGTCGCTGCAAAGAACGCCGGCGACTAATCAAGGACGCCGTCTTCGCGCGCCACCACCTTGCCGCCGCACACGCCGACTACTTCCGCTCACTCCGCGTCACCGGCGACGCTCTCACCGACTTCGCCGCCGGCGAACCCCTCCTCGTCGTCTCCCCTTCAACTCCTTCTGTTCTCCTCAACCATTCTCAGAACAATCGAATTCCTTCAATACCCAAAACGCTATTTTCTCTCTCCTCCAATTCCTCTGCTACCCATCTCCCTAAACCCCCGCCTCCGATTAAAACTGTCCCGTATTCTCCGGTTGCGCAACCGCCGCCGCCTCCGCCGGAGTGTTCTCCGACGATTGGGAGTTCGAAAGTGCCCCATATTTTGTCTGATTCGAGTGTTAAATCTGGTAATATTGTTGAAAAAGGGAGGGTAAAAAGGGGTCCGAAATTGCCCCATATTTTGTCGGATTCTAGTGTTTCATCTTCAACCCCTAAATCATTCGCCGGAAAATTCGATTTTCCGGGAGAAATGGAGACAACTTATGTCGGTGTTCCTAATTATAATTACGCATCTACCCCTTCTCAGGCTTCTTCCGTTTGGAATTGGGATAATTTCTACCCTCCTCCTTCTCCTCCTGATTCGGAATTCTTCCACCCTTCTGCTAAAAGTGACACCGTTTCAAGCCACCATGTTCACCAGGGTTTCAACCACCAAGGGCAGAATCGTCATTTGGGTGGTGGGGAGGAGGAAAGGGAGGAGAGAGAAAGAGAGAGTGAGAGGGAAAGGGAGGAAGTTCATTGCAGTGAGTGGGGTGATCATTACAGTTCAAATTCCTCGGATTCGGACGATGTTGATGAGGAGGAAGATGATGGGGATATTGATGGAGATGGGGATGATGAAAGGGAGACAAGATCAGAGTTTTCCGAGCTTCGAACCCGGTCCCATTTCGGTTCTTCCTCGGTTCGGAGCGAGCCGGTGGGGATGGCTCCGCCATTGAAGAAGGTGGAGGAGCGATCTGAGGATGGAGCTTCGTCGTCGAGGAGTTGGAAGAATAATGGGAGAGAAGTTTGTGGGAGTGAAGAGATGAGGATTGTTGTTAGGCATAAGGATCTTCAAGAGATTGTGGCTTCTCTTAAGGAGTATTTTGATAAAGCTGCTGCTGCTGGTGATCAGGTTTCTGAGATGTTAGAGACTGGTAGAGCTCAGCTTGATCGCAGTTTTCGACAATTAAAGAGTATGTTCTTCCTATTTTTAGCATCTTTATGTTGTTTAATTTTGTTTGAAGATTAATATAATTGTTACTTATGATTTCTTGTGATCCAATGTGTAAGTAGTTTGAACCATTTATACACATGTTTATTGTATAATTTGGCATCTTATGCTATATAATCATACTATTGTCTGTGATCTGAAGTAAATTTGATTGAATTTTGGATAGTTAGAATTGGGGATGTCTAGTGTTTTAGTAGTTTATTGGATTGGATAGAGTAGAATTGTAGGATGATGGATAAGATGACTAGTGGTGCTTTAGAATTTGAATCAGTCCGTTTTCGGATATGTTGTATGGATTTGGGCATTTATATTTGTTGTTGTTGGGTGTTGCAGAAACTGTATATCATTCAAGCGGGGTGTTGAGTACCTTAAGCTCGACCTGGACTTCAAAGCCTCCATTGGCTGTGAAGTATCGGCTTGATACCTCTGCGTTGGAAGCAACCGGAGATTCTAAGAGTCTTTGCTCTACATTGGAACGCCTTCTGGCGTGGGAAAAGAAGCTTTATGAAGAAGTCAAGGTGCTGATATATTGCTTTATTGAACAAATTGTACATCTATCTTTATCTTTGCCCTTTTTTCTGGCTTTTTGATAAAGTTCCTGTAAGGTGAGAATTTACCTGTAAATGCTTGCTTTCTCTCTTGTGTGGATCCCTGGTTGAGAGAGTGAACGGTTTAACATGGCCAGTGATTTTTGATATTGACATTTCGAGGTCCCACTTTTCTTAAAGTACCCATTTTCTGATCCCAGCGAATTGTCTTACAGTTGTTTTCACTTTCAAGCTAAATTAAGTGATTAAGATGGGAGTGCTTATCCTAGTTTTGCATCTATATTTTTTGGATGTTGTGTACCATACCTTTTTATTAGTTAACTCTATTAGGCAATGGTCCCTTCCATTTTGGAGACTCTCGTAGAAAGAAATTGAAACTCCCTCCAGTTTTGAGATGGTTCTACTTTATTTTTAAGAAAAATAAAATTAGGTTGGTTACAAGTTCTGTGTCCCAATTTCAATTTTCTCTTTGCCTGTAAAACACATTATCTCATTTAAAAGCATGTACTGCAATTGGTTTTTTTTTTTTTTTTTTCCTGATATGCAAATGTGTCAATTAGGATAGTCAGTGACACAGGGGAAGTATGACGACTTATGGTTGTTTAGCATGCTAAGAGAATAAAGGTGAGTCGTGTTTATGAGCTATTTGGTTGACGGGGATGTTTTTGCTAGATTGTTACCTAGATGCATCTCATTGTGGAATTTCCTACCATCCATGTCAATGTTTTTGGGAACGAGAGGAGGGTAGAGGAGGAAAAAGTGGTGGAATGTGGAGATCTGCATTATGTTCAAATGCTGTCATTATTCAGTTGTCAACTTGTCATTGCTTGTTTGGTGTGGTTTATTATGATTATGCAGATAATCTTAATATAAACATGCTATAAGAACATTGAGAAGACTTGTTCCTGAATTATATACGATGTATATTTTTTTATTATTGTTTGTAACTCCAGTTTTATTCTTCATGAAGTTACTTAATTAGGAAATCTAATCTTGGAAGAATGGTTTCTCTTGTCATGTTTGATTATTAAAATGCTGAGTTAAGCTGCTTTATAGTTTTGGATGCAATTCTAATTATTGCTGTGAATGAGCTGCAGGCTAGAGAAAGTGTGAAGATTGAGCATGAGAAGAAATTGGCAACGCTTCAGAGTCAGGAATACAAAGGTGATGAGGTCAAGTTGGACAAAACAAAGACTTCAATTAAGAGACTGCAATCTCTAATTATTGTGACTTCACAAGCTGTCAATACGACATCGTCTGCCATTGTTGGACTGAGGGACAGTGATCTTATCCCACAACTCGTTGAACTTTGTCATGGGTAAGCATTATGTAATTGGCAATTGAATGTATTGCTGCTTATAAAATTTTAATTTGCTTATGTTGATCCAGAATGAGTGTTGTATTATGGCTCAATCTACTACCTAGTCTACTTTAATGCTATAATACCACTAACTGTGTCGCCTTACTGGTCTAGAATCTTTATAGGGAACAGATTATAACTGCATAATAATTTTATCTGCTCTCCTTGAATAAGCCTTTACTTATTTGTAATTTTCAGGCCATTGTGCAGACACATTTGTATTGAGCCTTCTAGTGGTTTTGAAAATTGGAATTGAATTTCTGTTCCATTAGTATTAGTAGAGAAATTTCAGAAATTTCAGACACATTAGTATTAGGGGCAACCTTGCATTTCCCAGGTAGGTGGAAAATTAATAGAGAAATTAGTTCTAAGCTTCCTCATGACCTCATCAAACAGTGGAGTTTGATAGTTTGATCATCTGATTCACTATATTCTTGCCAATCCTGCATCATTTCATACTGATGCCGGTTCTGCCTGACATAAAATGTCATTAGAGGGAACAATTCACTCTTGTTTCCTATTAAGTGTGAAAGGAAAAAAAAAAATGGGGGGAGTGGAATTGTCAAGGCAAGTGGCATGGAAAAGGTACTGGAAAATAAACCATGTGCTCTTGCAACCATCTTGTAGTAATAGGTGTCCTGTTGTCCTATTGGGCCGCCTCCTAGCAATTAGTTCATTCATAACATGGTTCTTTTAGGCTTAAATACAAGTTCTTTCATGATATGATTAATGTTGTGGCATTTGGTAGATTGTTTTTATTGTGTCTGGGTCCACCCTTGTTTTTTCCTAGCCAATCTAGAAACGATTTATTTTGGTTGAAGTGACTGCTGTTAGTGTCCTTGCTTTTATATTTATGGGACCTAGTTAATAGTAATAGTGAGATCTGGATTTAATTAGAGTATAATCTTGTGTCGAAAGTATTGATCATTCAGTATTTTTTGTACTGTTTGAGCAGATTGGGAATTGGGGTGGATATTTATATTGATCAATGATATTTTGTCAGAATAATAGCATTGTAGGCCCCTGATTGTCATGAGCCAATAAAGAGTATAGATACGCAGATTTCTAATTAGTTTGCACTTTAGCATGATTATCATTGGATCTATCAATGTGGTGCATATCATTGACAATTATGACATCGACCCCGGTGGTTGGTGTGGCTTGTTAACATTAAACACGGGTGCTAGTCAGTTTGAATAGATGGATTGAAAGGATAAATTAGGGTCTCCGGCGAAAAGTTTGGATTGTTTTCTCATTAGAGCAGTTGACTTCCTGCATATGTAGGTTACCATTGCAGAGTTAGTGGCAGTTGCTACATACACTAAAAGGATTAACTATGATAGAAAAATTATAACTAGAATTAAGTGGGAATTAATTTTTAATTCAAATTGAAGCTTGTAGACCACTGGACTGTATGCTGGCTCTGTTTGCTGTCCCTTTCTTCTTTAAAGACCATGCTTGCCTGCTAAATTTCAGAACTTCACTAGCTTACTGTACTAGTTTAGCTCTGGATGGAAGTAAATATTTTACAAAATCTTTGATTAAAAGTTGTAAATTATAACCTGAATATTGAGACTCATAGTGCTGTAGTTGCACATATTGCAATATGGTCTTAGCTGGTGTTTTCTGTATTCAATGCTTTGTAAGGTATGATCCTTGACACTATCGACTTTGCTTTGCCTTGGGGCGTAAGGAACTCACTTCCTTGAAATGTTATGGTCTTTCTTTTCTTTAGCTCTGGCAATTTGAGTTCATTAAAATGGTTTGATATTAATATGTTATGCTTACGCAAAACCATTTCGTTGAATGCAGGATGATGTACATGTGGAGATCAATGAATCAGTTCCATGAAGTTCAGAACCAAATTGTTCAGCAAGTACGTGGTCTGATAAACCGTATAGCAAAAGGGGAATCAACCTCTGAACTCCATCGGCAAGCAACTCGGGACTTAGAATCAGCTGTCTCTGCCTGGCACTCGAGTTTCTGTCGCCTTATTAAATTCCAACGAGACTTCGTCCGTTCTCTTCATGGTTGGTTCAAGCTAAGCCTTCTTCCTGTTGACCACGAATCCGCTAACATGATGCCGGAGCACTCAGATGCATATCCCTTTTTTGATGAGTGGAAAAATGCCCTTGATCGTCTTCCTGATACCGTCACTTCAGAAGCCATGAAAAGCTTTGTTAATGTTGTCCATGTGATATCAGCGAAGCAAACAGAGGAATTTAAGATCCAAAAGAGAACAGAATCAATATCAAAAGAACTTGAGAAGAAATCTACGGCTGTCAGAACCCTTGAGAAGAAGTATTACAACTCATATTCCATGGTAGGCCTTAATTTTCCGGATGGACCCGACAATGGGCAGGTACTTGATGCACGTGATCCACTGTCCGAGAAAAAATCTGAGCTCCAAGCCTGCCAAAGGCGAGTAGAAGACGAGATGATGAAACATGCTAAAGCAGTGGAGGTAACTAGAGCGATGACCTTGAACAACATACAGACTGGTTTACCGGGAGTTTTTCAGGCGTTGACAAGTTTCTCCTTACTATTCATGGAAGGACTGGAAGCAGTGTGTACACGCTCCTACGCCATCAAATAGAAAGACAAAACACTTTATATTGCTTTCGGCCTTTTGGGGGGATAATTTTTTGGACTTAAGGTAAGTTTAGCTTGGAGAGGGCTTGGAATTTTTTTGGCTGTGGCCCTTCATTTCTTTAGCATTACCTGTTTCTCCTTCTGGAGGGTTGTTGTCTGTAGTTCTTTGTTGTAGATATGTGGAATTTTGAAAGTTCATCATCTTGATATTGGTTGAGGGATAGAAATTTCTCTCTTTGTACAGGAAAATTGCTTACATTATGTTTGTTTTTTCTGGGGATTTACATAAATTATTCAATATTTTATAATCAATAAATGTCCTACTTCTCTGCCAATCATTTATCTTGTAATTTATTGGCTTGTGATTTACTTCTGTAATTTATTATAATTTTATTTTGTCAGAATAATCAGGCTACTTTTGTTGTGTTCATACACCAATCAAACTCTTTGATGGCCATTGGCCAATGCAGCATCAGAAAATCAGGATGCAATAAGAAGATTTTCTTGCCTTGATAATCACAAAGGACAACAATGTAGATTAGATTCAATTCCATAAAATTTACGCACCAACAAACATGCTTGCAATCGCATTCTCATATGAGGGAAAAGGCTACATACAATGTGGCATGGCAGCATTTCATTGGTAGTTAATATGGGCTTCAAACTCCACTAGTTCTGAATTTTCATTTAAATTTGAATTGAAATTTCTGATTTAACCTAATGTTTAAAATTAAATATTTTGTCATTTCCAAAGCTAGTAATTTAATATTTTTTTTAATTTTTTATCCAAAAAAAAAAAAAAAAGAAACAACTGTTCATTTCTTTAATTCTATGAAGAAATAGCAAAAGGGCGACCATGGAAGATGAAAAAAAAACTTTGAAGCTGCTTCATTATCATTAAAGAATCTTGAATATACATCTTCCAGTCAGATTAATTGATGTAATTGGACAAATTAATCGAATTTAATTAGACAAATTAAACCTCCTAAGATTATTAAGAATTTTGAGTTTTAATTAACAACGTAAATTGGTGTAATTATTTGCAATTATATATATATATGTGTGTGTGTGTGTGTGTGTGTGTGTGTGTACGTAGTAGTGTAGTACTGTTTTATGGGGTTGAATATGGTGAATGATGAAGAATTGAGCCAAAGTTTAGAGATTTAGAGGAGCCAAAAAAAAAGAAAGAAAAAGAAAAAGAAAAGGTGAGAGAAAGAGAACGGAATTGTGGAAATTGGTGTAATTATTTGCAATTAAAATGACCTATTCTTCCTCCATTAATCGTCTCCAATTAAGGAAATGGGTCTATTTGCAGAATATACCCTTATTCTATTGAAATACTGAAATGAGTCTTCTTGTTCTTCCTGGCGATTTCAAATGATATTGAATTTTGTGTTGAAATTACAATAATTGTTAAAGGCACAGAAGTAACCTATTCATTAATAAATAAATATGAGATTTGAAGGTCGACAACAATAATGGTTGAAAATGGTGTAAGGTCGTGGACAATGGCGGAAAATCCCCAATAATTTCGAACATTGTTATTTGATAATATTTTGGTAACACAAGCAGTTATGTTTGGTAAGCTCATATCTGAAAACAACACAACAATTCATAATATAATGTTTGAAATTTTTTTAGTAACACAAGAAGCTATGTGATGAAAGCTTGCTTTGATTAATTAATACTCGATAGATATGCAAACATTGACATGTTGTTACATGATTCCGATTTCGATTCCTCACTAGCGCATATTTTTCTATTTTATACTTTTTGTTGTAACCCTTACAATGATCTTGTGTAATTGTTTTTTTAATTATAGTTACAAAAGTGGAATCTGTAATTTTAAAGCAACATTGGTCTTGTGTAATTGTATTTGTTTTAAATAATTTCATGTTATGAAAAAAAAAAAAGGGTCGCCCTTATCAAGTTCTTAGAGATTTAGATAATGTGAGAAAGACATAATCAATGGAAAGTAATAAGGAATGAAGGAGAATAAGTAAAGATAATCAAGTAAATAACAATAGACTTTCACATCAATAATAAGCGTTGAATAAGATCATAAGTAAGAAGAAGAATTAGTAAAGATAATCAAGTAAATAACAATAGACTTGTAAATTGAACTTTTTTTTGTAACGAATATATAATAAAAATTTCATGTAGATAGCTTCGGAAAAAAGTCACAAATAATCATTCCTTTTGTTTTAATATTATATTGAAATAGTTTGATAAAAAAGTTTTGCTTATTGCAAGATGAAATATGATTAAGTTATTATCACTATTATTTTTATCATTCTTCTTCTTCTTATTTTACCACTCTTAAAAACTCATTATTATTATTGTTATTATTATTATGACCATTCCCCCCAAACTTGGTTCATAAAGTTAGTACATAAATTAGTAACCGTATATATGTTAGAGACTTAGAGTGAAATTTTAAATATATAAATCCATTTTCTAGTAACAGAGATCATGATTCATGAAATTAGTTATAAACAAAATGGATAATTTAGCAATAATAAGTTATTAGCAATCGAAATAATCACTTAGAGAAAGTTGTCATACATGAGCTAAATTATCAATTTAGATCAAACTTGTAAACTTATGATGAGCTGGGGCATCGCTTACTCTTAAATATTGTACTGCTAAACTGTTTGGTAAATTATTTTATTTTCAATACGTAATTATTATACTATTTATAAACATTACTTTCTATTTAAAAAAATATATAAACATTGAAATTGTTTGATCAATAATTTTTTACTATTATTGAAATAATTGTATAATAACAATTACATCATTTAATACCGAATTGTGTGACAATATTATCTTGTTTCAACTCAAAATAAAAAAATCCATTTCGTTTGTACTTTGATAATAGTTGTTCATCAATTTGTGATTCACTTATCACTGTTCAATCAGTGAATAGGTTATTTTTAAGTAAGTAAATGGGGTTATTGTTTTGTAAGGTAATTCGAATATAGTTTGACACTCATACTTGTTTTGCAATGTATAAAAGTAGCAGCCTATATTAGTATATTTGTATCCGTTAGATGACTTAGATCCCCCCTTAATCAAATAATTTGTCCCTTTCCCAATTTGGTTCTTCTTCTTAGTTCATTTATTTGTAACCATTTAAATAAATAGACATTTATTAGTAACCATTTATATATATAAAGGGGATCTAACAAAACATTTACACAGCTATAAGCTATTAATATAGTTATTATATATAATTATAAATATAAATAAACGATATAAATGGGGTTATTAATTTATTGCTTTTACTAACCACTCGTTACTAAAAAAAAGTGATTGTTACTAAAAAATTATCAAACTTTGGATGAGTCAGGGATGTCGCAAAATACAAAATTGTTAAACAAAAGGGAGTTGTTTGAACTCGAAATAATTATGTAGTGAATGATGTGATATAAAAAAGGGAGTATTTTCCCGAGATTACAGAGCGTCATGTAAAATTAGAATTATTTAAAATATACTCCCTCCGTTCCTGAAAGTTCGACTCAATTTGCATTTGCGCGGTCTTCAATGAACATCTTTGACCATGAATATTTTCGGCTATGATAAGTGAAAATTATAAAAAGTTGATATTTGAAAATTTTATAATAAGGGGAATCTAATAAGATCCCTCACGCTAATTTAAATCTATTGTATAAATCATAACATATGATCAAAGTTATTTTATTTTGACCACATGAATAGTAAGTGAGTCGAACTTTCAGGAACGGAGGTAATATAAAGGATAGTTTCTTCCGATTTAAAAAAAAAAAGGATAGTTTCTTCACGAGATGATACAACGTCACGTAGGATTATAATTATCTAAAAATTTTAAAGCGTCACGTGAAATCCACACATGATAGAGATTATATGGCGCCAATTCAAGTAGGATTATAATTAATCAAATTAGCGAGTGGAATTTTAGAGTTTAAATTAATTATATATCATAAGGTCATATGTATATTACACCTTTTACTTTTACAATACACCTTTTGTTTATTAATATAATACATCATGTTCTTTTCATCTTTTGTATCCAACACATTTTAATTTAATTTTAAATCAATATTTGGTAAATATGTACTTAATAACACTACAATTTGGACATTTTAGTATGTTTGCATTTTTTCTAGTAACAGAACCATATTGATTTGTAACTACTCTTATTGATATATCACATAAGGCCGATACAAAAAGTTTGCAAAATGTTAAAAGGCGAATTTCGTAATATTCGTTAATAATTCTGCAAATTTGATGAACATAAAATACAATAATTGTATATTATTTCAAGTTCGATCCCTTCCTTACGTATATAATTTAACCTATGTCTAATCCCATGTGATTTATTGTGACATAGCAGTCACTATTCACTGTCGAATACGTCATTTAAATCGGCCACCACCCAAATTCAACACCGTACCCCATTACCACCGCCGCTTGCAACACTAGTGTAATCCCCATTAGATCCCCAAGTTTGAAAAGGAATTCAACGTAGTAATCCCCAAGTTTGAAACAAAGAAAGGAGAGGAGAGAGAAATTTGAAACCACCACCCTTTCACATGAGTACTTGTTCACAAAATTGAGGACATGTATAGGAGTTTTGATCATAATATGAAAAACCCAAAAACATGGTGGATGAAAGAAAAATTTAAATAAAAATTAAAACTAAATCGAACATGGTGGATTGTTAAACAAAACCAATTTTCTTTAACTTGGATTGAACAAGCTCGCAAATTCAAATATTTAGTTACTTAACCAGAAAATTTGCCGGCGTTAGTAAATTTTGTCATCTTCTCCGGTGGTATGTTCATCATCTTCAACCTTTATTTTTTCTTACTGTAATATTGAAGGAATATTATTAATATATTATGGGTAAAATTTGTAGAAAAAAAATAATAACATTGTAATTAATGCTCAGTATGGCGCCAACAATTTCACCCAACAAGAATCCCGCTCAATTTGCTTTATGGTGCCATTATGGGTGAATTATTTCCCCCCTATTTTTCCCTCTTCTTTTTTTGGTTAATGCTGATGTGGCGAATTTTTATTGGTGTTATATGGTGGGACCACATACAACAGCTGTATGCGTATCAGCTCCCCTCATATGAGTTTACGAGCAACAGAGCCAAGCTAACTGCGTAAGAAGACAGTTCGTAACAAGCAGAGCAAGCACGCGATTACACCCATTTAATCTATGATTTATCAGCTTAATTAACTCTAATATAAGCACGAGGTAAACAATGTGAAATGTGTATAATATGAGTTGAATCACAATCAACCCAAATCAAGGAAGATTACGAAAACCAAGGATTATGCAGACTGCAGTATGTCAGAG